GGTGGTCCGCAGAAAGGTGGTCTAAGGCTGAAGCTGACAAACATTACACCTGACTTCCCAGAAAAAAAAAACAGGCACGTCCATTGCATTAGAAAGGTAAGGCTACTGATATTAAAATGCGAGTTATGTGCTTTGATTTGTAGAACAACAACAAAAAAAGTTTAAGTGGTCCACTGAGACCCTCAGCAATTTTCAAGTGGAAAATATAAGTTTGAGAACCACTGCTTTAGACCAATACGGCTACAACCTGGATACTTGACAAGATTGTAAAATTGCGTTCTCCTGTGCCTGAAGGAGGGTGCGTGTGCCCGAAAGCTTGCAAATAAAGAATTGGTTTGCAAATATCCAGTTGGCCTAATAAAAGATATCACCTGTGCCAAGACTTCCGATTCCTTCTGCCTATAGACCAATATAACTATGACCGCTGATGTATCCACAGACTTTTGGGAATTGCTGTGATTGGTCAGTTTGCCTGTCTGTCTCATCTGCATGTCATGTGTGCCCTTTGGCATGGATTCCAGGCTCCAAACCTTAGCACTACATCATTAAGGAAGCTGAGTAGTTAGGAGTCCTTTCTCTCATTGTCTATACATATGCATGTGAATGTTGTATACATACCCCCATGTATAACCCCCATCAGTAGGTATCCTGGCTTTCATCTATCCCAGTGTCTGAAAGACCCTCACAAAACCTTAGTGGAGTCGGTTGCTGTCCTGCCTGCTAGAAAATGAACTGAACTGAAAGATTTTTGCAAGCAGCTGGATCTTCAGGTGGCAGTGTAGCCCCTCATGGTTAGAATACAAGGAGAACGATCCCTAGAGTTTAACCATTTACAGAGAGTTCATAATATCAAACACGAATCCACAAGCTGCATGTTGTTACCTCTGGGCCTACTCAGATGGAGAAATCACTGAAGAACTTAAACCCGGGTGTGTATTTCTGGTGCACTACCAGTTCTGTACTAACTCGTCTTGATGCCGCTCACGGTGGGCAGTCAGTATGAGGTACTTTTCTAGCTGGAGTAGTCCATGTTGCACTTATTGCATGCTGGGAATGCCCACAAGGGGAGCTTAGGCTGAAGAGCCAAATTGCGTGCTGATTTACCTTGGGGTACCTTCCCTGTGCAGATGTGCCTCTAGCACGGGTTGCCTCTAGCAAGGGCCTTCTTACTGAGGAAATTAGTTGCATATAAAGCAAGGGGTAGGTGTCCACACATTTTGAGTCCCAGCTTTGTCTCCCTTATTTACCATCCCCTTCTGGGAACAGAACAGCACACAGAGCTACTGAGCAGTATTACAAATATCTCTGTATTTCTTTCCCCTCTGCATTGCCTCCCTTGCAAATATTGTTTTGATTAGGTACCTGGAAATTTCTTTCTAATGTCTGTCGCTTATGTTTCCTGGATGTAGGGGGGAAAAAAATCACTTGGTAAGTTAAAATAGACATCTATGTTATGTATTTCTTTTCTTCAGGTTGGGAAGTCGATAACATGGGGCAAACACACACAGGTGAGAAACAGCTCTGTTGTCTCCTCCTTTTTTATATCTCTTCGCCTATAGCTTATCTCTCTCTGGGATGCTGGAATACATGCTACAATGTCACACTAAAATCTAAGTGAGATACTAGCTATTATTATAAGCAATAATATCTACTATAACTACAAAGCACTTAAAAGTAATCTGTGAATACATCATTTAAAGTGCTTTATTCAAAACCCTGTGGCATTGTATTGTATCCCACCAGGCGGGAGTTAAGGTTGTTTGGGTGATGTAATCGTTGGATTTTATGCCTTCATATTTCTTTTACATTTTATCTTAGCTCAGAATTTCTTGGCTTGCCAGTCCTTTATTTTGGGGATTATTGCAGTATCCCTCTAATGTTGTCTATTTTACAATGCTGAGATACACTGTCAACCTTAACTCCGTTTTATTCTCGCTGTGTATGTAACTTCAGCGTAGGTGTGTCTATCGTAGAAGCTATCAGGTGAATCCATATTTACAATTACACCCTTTCTCAAAGGTAAAATCAAGTTTGGGCCTTATTCCAAGACCATAGAAATCAGTTGGCATCTGTTGACTGATTTCCATGGATACTGGGACTGGGAAGGACCATATCTCTGGTTTAGTAGGTGATTTTGACCTGTTGGAAGCCAAAGTCCAGTCTCCTCTAGGTAAGGAAAATTATGTTTTTTATTGTTTAAATCCTATTCCAAAAAGAAAAAACAAGCTTCTTTTCCTGCCAACTGGATATTATGTTTCTGATCAATTCTAATTATTGCAAGAACACACTTAGTAGTGTGTTACCTGGAGCAATATGAGGAACATTTATATATCAGTTGGTGACTACTACAGTCTGACAAGGATATCATTATAATTCTTATTTACTACCTTAACAGTAATTACTGGAAGGAAGTAAAAAAATCCTGATTCTTTGATTTGTGGGAAGTTTCTCTGGAAAACTCCGAACTGTTGTGAAATTACGAATTCTAGAAATTCTCAAAGTAGCACAGGACTCCTAAGAGAGTGGAATGATTACACACACGTTCGGCTCCATTTAGGGATGAAGACATGATCAAAAATAAGGTCAGTGCCATTTACACCAGGTGCTCCTTAACAAAGTGGCTCTAAAACTAACCGCTGAGTGCAAATGCAAAAGCAAAACAGTCAAACAGGTACAGTCAGAGCAGAAGTAACTGTAACGGCTCAATAAAACAAAAGCATTGCCCAGGTTTGGCTCCAACAAGAACGTGATGCATTCACCAACAGGCCTCAAGCTTTTCAGACAGGTCAGAGAGCTTGGACATAAGCTCTCAAAAAAGCCATGAGCTGGTAGAGCATCCTGAATAACCGTGTATGGAAATGAGTATCCCAGTTATTGTCACTGGCAACAGAGTCTCTGTTTACAACATTCCCATAATTTCAGCCTTCTGAACTAGTTAGAGCATAAATTGCAACACCCAAGCCACCTATCATATGGCAACGCTCCAAGGAAGGCATGTTCTTTGGTTGGATTTGACAACATCATACTCTGTAACTTTGCTATGATACTTAATATAGGGGACATCAGCAGAAATTGCACAGAAGATGGTTGGTCTGAACCCTTCCCTCATTACTACGATGCCTGCTTTGATGAGAATTTCACCGACCCTATAAACCAGGTAGGAAACAACTTAATGCTAAACACAAGTTAATGACATAGCATGCCTGTGTTTGCTGTGAGTCCAGTCTGTAGCCAATGAATGGTGATCCAAGTGAAATAATTCACTTATATACATGCAAGCTCAAAACAGTAGCATGTGAGGTTTTCCTTATATTCTGTTACACTGTGGGTTTTTCTGTAAGCTTATAACTCATATAGCATATAGTTCTTATATGCACTAATGAATCCTCACCAATTAAGCAAGGAGTTCATAGTGGGTATGTCTACACATGTGCATCTACTGTGCAATAACTGAAATTACTGCACCATACGGGTGCATGTCTAGATGTACATGCCCATACTGTGCAGTAAATATGGCAACTTACACTGACTTGAGTGTAAATTTGATACATGCATCATGCAGGTATCAGATTTATGCCCGACTAGTTACTGCACAATAATGCATGTATAGACGCATTACTGCACAGTAACCCAGGAGTCCTCCCTTCTGGGTCTGGCCAGCCACTGGGGAGCTAGCCTGAGCACCACCCCAGGACTCCTGGCTGGCCACCTCTCCTGGCTTCAATTTGGGATGAAAGTTAGTCCAAAGTGCTGGCAGCCAGCTCTGGCTTCAATTTGAGACTAAAATTAGTCCCAAGACCTGGCAGTCATGTGGCCAGGGGCTGGAGCTCCCACTGGTGGCCACAGGGGCACATGACAGGCTGCTCTGACCTGGGACTAAATTTAGTTCGAGGTCATCTGCACGTATGGATGCCAGCCTATTTCTGCTTCCTGCACAGTAACTTACTGCTCAGTAAATTTAAGCTGCCATAAATGCACGTGTAGACACACTCAGTCTGCCCTTAACATAATCCTTTGTGACTTTGGGATAGATATGGAGTAGTCAATGCAATGATAAGAGTTCAACCCTTACCCTAACAGTCGGTTCTGTAATGCAGTGCCAGCGCAGGTTGTACCACAGGCAGTGACAATACATAGCAAAACATAAAGGGAAACTTTAGCAATCACTGTAAGAACCAAAACCTGTTTATGGCACTGAAGTCTGGCATGACTGGAGTTAATCCTGTGAGTTAAGTCAGCCAGATCCTGGCCCAAGAGGTGAAGGTGATGTTTGTGACTACATGGTGTTTTCTTCTCAAGGACTACTACTACCTGTCTGTGAAGGCCCTGTACACAGTTGGATATAGCACTTCCCTTGTTTCCCTCACCATGGCGATGGTTGTCCTATGTCGTTTCAGGTGAGTTCCTGTGAATGAGTGGTGATCTGTTTGTAGGCATAGGAAAAGAGACCAAGGCCCATCCCCCCCCCCCCCCCCTCCAATCTTTTATCTAAGCAGTGACAAAAATAGGAGGATGTGCAGGATGATGTGCTTGTTTTAGAATCAGGCTGCGTCCAGATGAGTGCAGCCATGCAGTATGTGACACCGCAGACCCGTCTACCATCTACTGTGCCACACACCACCCATTCAGGCCCTTCCTGCACTGATATCTTGTAGCATGGTGGGGTGGGGGGAGGAGTTTGATTCTGGGAGATACCGGGCTCAGAAATACTCATGTGGAAAAAAGTGAGGCAGCTCACATGCCACCCAAAACTGGACACTGGCCCCCCACAGCGATGCTCTGGCTGCCGGCCAAGCTCCCAGATGCAGGAGTGCCACGACTGCAGCATCCCTGGCCCCCAGGACCTCAGGTAAGGCTGCTGGGGCCAGCACAGATGTATAAAAATGAAACTAAGGGCTTTGGAACAGCCTCGAAACAAAGCAAGGGCAGCTGAAACATTTTGAAAGTTTCAAAATGTTTTGAGTTTCAGAGCTGAAGCTGGGCTTGCTTGAAGGGAAACAGAAAGTAAGGTGACAGAGGGGGAAGGGGGCGGAAGGACTGCTCTCATACTGACTGTGTAGCTGGCCAGTGACTGTGATCCTTCCATGAGGTCCCTTCCAGTCCCAGTGCTCTGGGGGAAGCATTGAAAAACAGCATAAAAAGCAGCTTTGTTTGAACTGAGCTGCTTTCTGCCTTGAGCTGTCTTCTGGAAGCTCAGCAGCATTAGACAACAAGGGCTACCATTCATTTCCTACTTGCTTGCCTAGCAAGTGGTATTCAGTAATACCTTTTGCTTTCTTTTTATACCCTTTTATTTTATTATTATATTCATTGATTAGTCCCTTTCAATTTATTCCTCCTCCAAAATCCTCTTTTTGTTTAATCTATTTTGATTCTTTTCAAATCTGTGCTTTCTCTCACAGTGTGCATGCCATTTACTGTGCAGGGAAGCACAGCATAATTACATTGCATATTATAATATAGAATTTATATAAGAAAACACATGCATACATTTATATATTGATATTTTATTTATTACTTAAATACATACATACAAACATACATACATTACATAAATACACATACAATCAATTATCTTATCTACATATATTACATAAATTGGATAGATAACATTACAGAAGAAGAGACAGATTTTCCAGCACACCAAGGCAAAGACAGGACATGAAATCAATGGGGTCAATATGATCGAGGCGGTCCATGATGCCAACTTTGTTGGCATCCACTGTGTGGCACAGGGAAGTTCCACCTCGTAGTCAGGGATGCTTAGGAAGGGGACAGGGCTTCTGGCGATGGCGCCAGCACCACCAGTAAGCTCATTTCAAAATGCGGGAAAGTGGCAGGCTACTTCCACCGGAGCATCAAGGGGGCAATATGCCTTTCCTCGAGGCCACCAAGAGCCTCAGTGCTGCCGATGCCTTCCTTAGCCAGGTGATCTCCCTAGTGAGGGAACTGGAGAACCAAACAGAGAAGTTCCAGGGGATCAATGTTCCTGGCTGGGGCAGGTTGCTGTCACCAGACATGCAGGCACTGGTGAGGAGAAGGGCATCAGGAACTGGCTTGATCCCTTGCAGTTCAGTATGGTTCACATGCTGGCCACAAAGTATGACCTGAGGGTGAAGGGCAGCGTCAGTGTATGCAGCAGCAAAACCCTGGATCAGTGGGCAGAGGTGCTAGTGAAGAGCATCAGGGAGGCGGAACAGCAGAGGCAGGGGGATGTGGAAGAGAAGGATCCACTGTCCCATCCCAGCACACCATCCACCAGCCAGTCTCCTCCTCCACCACAGGTGTTGCCAACGTGGGCCAAGGGCATGGCTTCCATGGTCGGGTCCAGAGGCACCATCGGGCAAGTAGTGCTCAGGTCTTGGTGGCTGCCTATCTCACTGAGGACATGGAGCCGCTGCTGTGCAACCCTTTGGTCTACTGGGCAAGTCACAGCCAGATGTGGCCAGATTTGGCCATGGTTGCCTGCGAGCACCTGTCCTGTCCACCGACCAGTGTGCCAAACGAGAGGGTGTTCAGCATTGCTGGGGATGTAGTGACACCCCACTGCACCTGCTTGGATCCTGGTTTGGTGGAGCAGCTGGTGTTCTTGAAGGTGAACCTCCTGCTGTTGGGGTTCCCCACACTCCAGGTACAGATGGAGTGAACGCCACCCTCCTCAATCCATCTGCACCTATTTCCTTTTTTCATCTTTTCAAAACCATTTAATGCCCAGCTCAGAGCTGGAGGGGGCACTCACTACATCACCAGCCAGCAGGGGAAGAACATGTCCCTGCTGAGCTCCGGTGCCAGGATGAACTTGGAGGTATGGGCTGGGGCTATGGGGAAGGAGGAGACCCCAGGTCCTGGGCATGACCACTAAAACTGCACTGTGCCAGGGTTGGGAGGCCTGGTGGAACTGTCGGTGGTGCAGCAGCCCCAGGAAATGCCAGGACCAAGGATCCTCCTGGTGAAAGGTGGGTAGGAGGCATCATAATCTTCAGCCACCACATGCACACACACAGTCCTGGGTGGGGAAAGCCCAGACCCGTCACACCTTTGACAGGCCTGAGGCTTGCTGGTTGCAGTGGAGTTGTGAGGCTCCAGGTGAGCTCAGCTTAGCTGCCTGGGATGCCAGCTTTTGGCCTGAAAACCCCTTTGTCAGGCTGAGGAAGCACCTGCAGTTGGTGGATGTGTGCTGTTCCTGGAATAGTAAAGCAGCCAGAGGCTGGCATGCAATGCCAGTCATTGAAAATGGAAATGGAGGCATCAGAGGGTGAGGGACAGGTTGGGGTAGGGGGGAAGGGGGATGTAGCAGCACAGGTAAAAGTGCAGAGGTACCTGGGGAGCCAGATGTCCGTCAGGTCACAGCGTGCCAGAATACCACTGTCTATAGTGAGTCCGTGAGTTTCTGTACCTAGGAGGCTGATGAAGTGCAGTTCATAGGCTCGACTGTGAAAAAAGGTTTGCAAATTCAAACAAGCACTGAACCTCGCTAACCCCTGCACCTATCTCCTTGATGCCTGGCAGGCTTCATGGCCTCAGACGAGGCTACCACGCCTGCTGTTTTCACCTCATTGCACCTTAACACACGCACACACACACAGTCACACACGCCACCAGTTTTGCTTCTCACCAGCTCAAGGTGCAGCTTCCCAGAAACACCTACCCCTATCTCCTTGAAACTTGGCAGGCTTCATGGCCTCAGCAGGGGCTACCGTGCCTGCTGTTTTCATTAAAACTCCCCCAAATGACAAAGTTATAGGCAGTTTCGTGCTTCCCCATTATAGCCTATAGGCGAAACAGTTGCAACAAAAAGAAACAGAACGGTGCTTCGAAACTAAACGAAAGTCGAAACGAAACACTGTCCCAGCGAAATGGTGAAACGGAAGTTGAAATGAAACAGTGCTGCTTGGCACAGCCCTATTGGGTAGAAAAGCTGTATAAATATTAGAAAAAATGCATTGAAAAGTCTTATGCAGAGAAGAAATATATCTATTTTAGCCAATGGAATTCATTCCCATGTGATATTTGGCCCAAGAGCTTAATAGGTATAAAAATTGCCCACGTAATCCTCAGTTACCTAAGTAAGGAGTCATTTTCAAAGTTGTTGGATTGGTTGGGATCACTGTTGCACTGACTCCTGTTTTCCTAGACATTACTGTTATTGCAGCTATTAGAAGGCACAGTCAGGAGTGTTTTAATATCAGGAAAGAAAACATATATATTTTTTCTTTCTATCTTTTCTTTCTAGGAAGCTTCACTGTACCCGCAACTTTATCCACATGAATCTCTTTGTCTCATTTATTCTGCGAGCAATATCAGTCTTCATTAAAGATGGGGTTCTGTATGCTGAACAAGATAACAGCCACTGTTTTATCTCTACTGTAAGTGAAAAAAGGCAGCAGCAGTTTTTTTCTTGCTATATATTTTTTTTCCCCATAAAAAAAGATGAAGTTTATTGGATGTTTGTAGTATCCTGGCCTGAGATTTCAGCCCTTTGTTTTCAGTTCTGTATAAATTCATGGTAAGGAATATTTGAGTTCTGTATCAGAAAGAGCTTATGATCTGAATAGATAAAACATATATAAAACATAGATAAAACATAGGACTTTAGTGACCTCTTTAGCTGGGGGTCCTAAAGTCCTAGGTTTTATCTATGTTTTATATCCATTTCTCTGAGTTCTTAGGCAACGAGAGACAATATAGTGGAAAGAAAGGGATCTGACTTCAAGCAGAGTGACAGAAGTGGTGGTGGTTTGATCATGGTAGAGTTGTTATTAACATCACATCTTGTCTTTTTGTGTTTACTGAACAGTGTTTGGTCACATTTGTTCTCACGGCCATACTGCGTGCGCAGACGTGATAGGCTGGGATGGAGTAAAGAGAAGTTACGTGTACGCGACTCCACACTGTTCTCACCAAAAAAAGCAATCCTCGCCCCCCACCCTTGCCTCTCTTCCACATCTTTCTTTTCAAGAACAAAGTCAATAGATTGAGAAAAAGTCCACCAGAGAGGAACTGAAAGTATTAGAGGCCTGGGAAACATGACTTTTGATAAAAAAGTTGATCGAACTAGGACTGTTTAGTCTGGAGAAGAGAAGACTCGGGGAGGTTTGATAAAGGCTTCAACAGGCCTTGACTAGATGACCTCTTAAGGTCCTTTCCAACCTACTTTCCTATGAGTCTGTGCCACAGACCTGGGAAGAAAACAATATTTTTCATCTCCACCATGCTTTAGAGTATCAGTAGCTGGCATGCCCAGAAGGTCTTTGCTACCACTGTTTGGGTTTGGAGTGGGTGGGCTTGTTTTTCAGCTGCAGTCTTCTAATAGCACCATAGAGCCAGTGTGGATATACCTAAAGAAGGCAGACAGGGAGCCACTGCAAAAGAAGGGAGGAGATTGAGGGAAAGAGTGGATGGGGCGGGAAGCAGAGCACCAGGTGGCAGGGCCGGCAGGGAGGAGGGGGAAGAGCAGGGCAGGGAACAAAAAGCAGAGCAACAGGACAGGAAGCAGAGGGTCTCAAGGTGGTGCTCAAGGAGTGTTCAGAGTGAACTGGGGATGTGCCCACCGAAAAGGTTGGTCCCTCCTGGTTTAAACAGTTTAACCTATTGCAAAATATGGAACGGGCTTCCAAGGGAGGTGGTGCTTTCCCCTACCTTGGAGGTGTTCAAAAGGAGATTAGACAAGCACCTGGCAGGAGTTACTTGACCCCAGTGCTCTTCCCTGCCCAGAGCAGGGGGTCGGACTCATTGATCTAATAGGTCCCTTCCAACCCTAGAAATCTATGAGAGCTATGGGGAAATGGAGAGAGGCAGGAATGAAGGATAAAGGAAACATGAAGGGTAGTGAAACGAGCCTGAACTGAAGTGATTGTTAAGGAAGTGAATGGAAAGGGGTTGGAACAAATAGCCAGTCAACAGAAGGGATAGACTGCCCTCACCAAAAAGTAGTTTGATGTAAGTAGCCTTCAGAGCTTAAGTTTGGGACACATTTTTTTTCCACTTTTATCCATATCTGTATCAGTGTTCAAACTTAATACTTTGGCTTACTGGTTTGAGATGTCTGGGAATCAGAAATAGTTCAAATTACCATTCTGGGGGCCAGGTCTTCAGTTGGCATAACTCTCTTGAAGTGACTGTACTTTTCCCGATGTATACCACCTGAGGACCTGTCCACTGGATGGAAGAGAAGCCACTGGATCTCTCCTTCCCTGCCGGGTCGCAGAAATGAGCTTCTAGTTTGTTGGGTTATTCCATAGTACTATGGCACGGGAATAACTTTGCAGGTGAACAATGTGGCACTGCTTATGGCATCACCTTGGGATGTGACATTGGAAAGACAAGTATGCCCTATTCAGGGCATCTGTAGAGGGTTCAGCACTCTCTCAGTGCTTGTCCAAATGGGTCTGAAGCTTTGTCTACATTTTTTGTTCCCTCCATATATTAATAAAAGCTGGCATGCCTTTGTCTAGTAAATCACTTTACCATTATCCTCACTTTTCAGTCTCTGACAGTGAGTGACAGCTCCGATAAATTGCCAAGAAGTGAAATTCTGAATTTTGCACAGCAGGATACATCCTCCTTGCAACCTCAGGGCCTTGCACACTCTCAATTCTGTTTAAACTTCTTCCTTAGACTTCCTTATACAGAACTTTGTTTTTTTTTTCTTGTCTGAACTTAAGGCTCGGGGAATCGCGGTCTACCAGTTAGCAGCCATTGTTGACCCGCCCCCATCCCCCACCCCCCGACAAGCGGTAGAGGCTCTTGTGCTATCTGGAGACTTTCTCAAAACATCTCACAACTGCTAAAATGTGCTCTCTCTGCTTTTAGAGCTGCAATCTTTAAGCTTTTTCATGATTGTTTTAGATTTGATTATTATAAAAGAAAAGATTGTTTTAGTTTTCATTGGAGTATTTCAAGACACAGCTGTGCATCCAATTGTCAACCCTCAGTGAAGCACGAATGAAGCAATGTTATTTGTGTTTGTTTCCCGCAGGTGGAGTGCAAGGCGGTGATGGTCTTTTTCCACTATTGTGTCATGTCTAATTATTTCTGGCTGTTCATCGAGGGACTGTATCTTTTCACCTTGCTGGTGGAGACTTTTTTCCCAGAAAGGAGATATTTCTACTGGTACACCATCATTGGCTGGGGTAGGTAAAAATTGTTATGGGTGGGTTTGCTTATTCCTCTAGCACCTTGTGAAAGGGTTGCTTGAACTAAGGAACTGACTGAGAAGAGAAGCTGAGCATAATCAAAGAAGAGCCCATGCAGGGCAGAATCCCACTTCACCTAACGGACGACTGAAGTGCAGCTTGTGACCAACTCGGAGTTACCCACCGAAAATGCAGGAGTGATTGTATTACTCCACTGGGTGCACAAGTGCCCTGGTATAGAAATAGGGTCTCCCTCTGGAGACAGGCAGACACCTCCCTATTCCTATAATGGGGGCACATAGATGCTCAAAGGGGGCAATCAAACTGCTCTTACACTTGACTTGGATAAATTAAAGATGGTTGCAGGCTGTACTTAGGTTTTCTACTGTTGAAATAAGAGTTCTCCCCATAGTATTTCAAGTTATCTGCTCCAATCCCTAGCATGTCTTTGTTTTCCATGTGTCAGGGGGCCATGCATCCTGAGAGGAGCAAATCCATCCTTTCAGAAAGTCCTTGCAAGGATGAGAGAAAGTCCTTGCATGGTAATAATCTTGCTTTGCAGAAGTTGGAATAGACGGGACTGCCTTTTGAGCTCATCTGTATTGCTCATTGGCCTGGTATATGATGTTCTGGAGAATGCCCCAGGGATCCTCCTCCTTTTTTTGAGCAAATCAAGATGGCTGTTTTTGGACACCAGCAAGATTTTTATCTAATAAACAAAACAGCCCAACGTCTCCATTTTATATGGACTAAGCAATGTAGAAAACAATAGGGTTTCTCCCACTGGGATTGCAAATTTCAGCACTACTATTATAGATTAAGTGGGTTATTGTCTCCTGGTCTAGCCAGACATGAATTGAAAGCAGGACCAGCAAACTCATGGTCCCCCTTGGAGCATTTCACTTTGCAAGAAGAATTCTTAATGTCAGAGGAAGTTTTCTGATTAAACAAATCAGAAATACCAACTCTGGGCTATTCCCTGTGGTTTCATTTGTTGCTCGCAGATGACAGCTAGGCTGAAAACACTGAAAACATGTCCAAGTGAGAGCTGCTCAGAATAAATGAAAATCAAGCAATGGATAGGTAAACAGGAACTGGTTATATTGGTGAGGGAAAATGATGTTCTTTAGAGAGTAGGACCCCATGATGATAACTTATGCAGTTATGTAGATGTTAAACTTTCAGAGCTAGATTTATTCCTGTTGTTTCTTCATGCAAATGGTATGTGTTTGACATTTTAACTAATGAGCCCAGATGGCAGGCCAAAAAAAGAGAACTTTCATTGAAAGTGCATGTATGAGGTTTAAAACATAGACTCTCAAGGTTAAGCTCAGTATCGGACTTCTGTTAAATGAAATTTAGCTTCAAGACAGACTGGAAATAAAAGTAATGCCTTGTAATTTTAAAAAATGCAACAATGAAATCTTAATAAATGTGAATGGCTCCCATTCTTGTTATTTGCGTTATGTTAGTGCCTAGGAGTTCATAACGGACCACAGTTATGAGAAATTCCTACTGTGAATATTAAATGCTGGAAATGGTGAAAAATGGGAAGAGAAATGAGGACGAAGAAGGATAAACAAGGATGAAGACAAGGACGAAGGCAATGACTTGGGGCACAGCAAACGAAAAAAACTCCTGCAAGGAGTTTTAGTTTGTTGCCCCGATGGCCGTGGAGCAAAGCACTGGACTCCATGCAGCTCAGGGGCTCTGCAGGAAGCCCGTGCAGGCAGCCTGGCAGCAGCCCGGGAAAGCAGCTCCACCCAAGAAAAGCGAAGAGCCCGATCTTTTTTTTCCCCCCACCTAGAGCCTGCCTTCCTGCCTGAGGTGCGCGGAGGCCTGGTGCTTCCCTCCGTGGCTGTGGTGTCCCCTGGGACCGCCCAAGCTGGCTGTCTGCGGGTGGGTGCTGCCTGGGGGAAGGGGTGAGGGGTGCCACTGATATGGAGGGAAGCACCAGCCCCTCCCCGCAGCCCAGGGACCGCTCCACCCACTGGCAGCTCGCCCTTCCCTCCCTGCCAGAGGGGCAGGTAAGGTGTGTGCATGACACAGGGGTTTAATCAGCCCTGAATTAAAGCGGTGATTTTTTTAATCCACCGCTTTAATTTAGGGCCCCGGTTTCATCTACACATGCCCTTCAATGCTAGGCTGTACAGCTTCTGAACCATGAGAGAAGAACTTATTTGGAGCCTCCCAGCAGTTCAGGTGGCGGCTCCTTCTGGCTGCCACCTCCACAGACTCCCCTGAAGAGTTGGAGTGTAATTCAAACCCCAGCCACATGCAATGCAGCACATGCAGGTGCTCCCCGTGCTGCTGCTTTGCAGCACGGTGGGGCTTTCTTGACCCCAGGAGATCCCTAGGCCAACAAAACACACACCAAAAAATGGGGCAAGACACATGGCTGCAACATATGCCGCCCAAAACCGAAGCCTGGCCAGCCGGAGCCACACTCCAGCTGCCAGCCAGGCTCCCCACTGCAGGAGCGCTGCAGCTGCAGCTCCCTGAGGCTCCCAGGACCCCAGGTAAGGCTTCTGGGACCAGCACGCTTGCTGGCCCCGGTCTCCCCTACCCCACCCAGGGTAAGAGCTGGAGCGTGCTTGGCATGGGCATTCCCCAGGGACAAGGTGCCGCTGTTGTTTGTCCCCGGGAAAACACATGTTCCGGCTTTGGGGATGCAGCCAGTGAGGTTCTGCAGATCCCAGTAGATGTCATTGAAACTTGGGTCTTTGCCTGTTTCATGTACATGATTTTCATTTTCGTAGGTGCATCTGCATACATTGCTAAACATGAAAGAAACACAAGAAAGCTTACATCTACACTGACAAAGGCCTTTCCAATCCATGTCATTAAAGAACGACGTTTGAAACCAGTTGATCCCATAGTCGTAAGAGAGTTTCCTGTCTGAAGTGAATATTTTTGTAGTTAAATATTAATTTGTTGTATCTAGTCTACTTATAAATATAACAGAATAGTTCATATCCACAGCATTCATGATTAGCAGGGAATAACCTATGAGTTAAGTTATATCCTGAGATGGAAAAGTCTCACAATTCCTATTTATTTCAGTTCATGCTGAGCATATTCAGATCTGCCAGGAAGCATTCAAGTTGGGGTATGGCTTCAGTATTTTGTTTCACTAAGAAAAGCCTGTATGCAGTTTCTATACTTCCAGGTGCTGAGAGCAGCCTGTGAAGGAGTTGAGTGCTTGGGGATTTGCAAAGATAGCTCAGTAGTCTGCAGGACTTGGGTCTTTTCTTCTGTCTAAGCTGATGCATTGTCAGCATTTAGCATATAATTAATTAAAATGATAAATGTGCATGCTTACCTGGGCTATGCCCTTACATATGCAAAACTGAGCTGATCCTTTTAGGGGAGATCTCATGTCCTTATGACATACCTTGTAACTCCTGTGACTGATCAGAGCTGCGAGGATAGCTTTTTTTTAACAATAGTTTTATCCTGTTTGATCTCACCCAGAACTGGCAGTTCATATACAGTTACAAAGGGTTATAGAAAATAACCTAACTTTTCTGAACCATTTTTGATTTATAGCAAAGGAGTGTGTGTGTACATATATGCCTGCATGTGTGTGTACCTTTATTGCAGAGGGCCCTACACTCTTATCCAAACAGCCTCGCACCCAGGACAAGTGCTGTTTGAGTTGTGTTTGCATTTGATTCTAACCTCCTGCTTCTTTTTCATCACTGTAATACCACTGCCTTTTTATTAGAGTTACTCCTTATCTGCTTCATTGCAAGTTAAAGATTGTCATCATACCCGTTAGATATTCTTAAGCTTACAGCCACATCAAATATGCCTTTTGTTTTTTTGAACGTCTATTAAGCACACAAAGACCTTGGTCTTTCCTAAGTATGACAGAGAATATTAAAAATAGATTGACATTCAGTATGCTTTATTTCCCCTCTGTTTCTCTCTGGAACATTTATTTTTGTTCCTATTTAATTTCATTTTCTATTGAAAATTTTTCTGTTTAAAATATCTGTTTTTCCTCCTGTTTTAAAGAGCAGAGTTTCACTCATCTGAAAAGGTTATTGAAAGGATATTTTCTTTTGTAACAGCTGCAGTGTAAGGTTTGATAGTGACTCACCTGAGCAAATTAATTCTACCAATTAATTAATGTGGCACCAACACAATTTTGCAAAATATATGAAATATAATTGCTGCTGTCAACTTGTGACAGTCTTACTCGCTGCTACACCCAAGGGTAATCTACATCTTTTTTCCCCTCCATGTCTTCTATCTTTCTAGCAGTGATGGATTAGAGGTTGGCAAATCTTGTCACTCAGCTGTTTTCCTTGCCAAAAAAAATGCAGGTTTAAGCTGACCAAAAATATGTGTGCATCCTCACTGAATTATTTCAGCCAGAAAAAGAATCCAAAAAATAAAGTCTGTTTCTTTCCCATGCTTTTTAAATGAAATGTAAAAATTAAAGATTTTTAGTTCATATAAATTTCATCCAAATATTGGAAAGGGTTCAAAAAAATCAGAAAATAAAATGTTTTGCTCACAATCATATAGGGTTTTCTTTGTTTGGTTGTTGTGTTTAGTTTTTTAGCAGATCACTGAAAAAAAATGTCATTTTTGCTTGCCCTAAGTTAACATTTTTCCCTGACTTTTTGGTTCTTATAGGAACTTGCAAATTAGTTATTTGGACAGCTCTAGGTTGGGTTCATCTTATTTGCCCCACAGAAAAGCCTGGTCCCTTTCATTAAGCCATGCCAAGTACAGCTGTGTAACGATTGCAGTACCAAAGCACTGCTTCAACTAAAGGGAGTGCCTCAATTTCCCGAAGGTCTCCTGTTCAGTGAAGGGTGAGCTCTCCATATTGCTGAGTCTAACATCACTCTACAATAATGCAGAGCCCTTTTTGTTGCCATTTCCATCCATGCAATCTCCCTGGGGTCAACTTACCATCTTTCGATTTGGAATTGAAATTCTTCTCAAGATAATTGCTTGCAGCATGAAGAGTCCTGGCTTCCTCTTGGTAGCAATTCGATTGTAAACTCTAGTGTCTTGCTGTATTAATAGTTGCATTAATTTTCCTAGTAGCCAGGAGTTGCCAGCCTTTTCAGGCTGTGGGCCAGAATAACCCAGCTCAGGTCAGAGGTGGGTGGCTGCTAGGGCCTGTCACCTGCTGCTTCCCACTGTGCCTTGAGGGAAGCCCCCGCGGCCACATCTTCTCCCCGATGCAACATGGGAGAAGTCCCTGCCAATGCATGCAGAAAGCCAGATCCAATGACTCCAGGGGCTAGATCTGTCCTGCAAGTCATAGATGGCTGTAAACCTTAGGGCATGAAACCTCAGAAGAGAAAATGTCTGCATTTGAAGGGATCGGTGATGGATGTGTAAATTAAAGCAGAAACGAATAACCGCATAGCAATCACTCCGCCTTGTCTTTTGCAGGCACGCCTACAATTTGTGTCACTGTCTGGGCTGTGCTGCGCCTTCATTTTGACGACAACGGGTAGGTACCACTGTCCGTGGTCTCCTGTTTGCATTTATCATTAAAACAAAAGGCGGACAAGAAACGGGAGCAGGGTGGGGACAGGGACTGGTTTCCGTTCTCTTCTTTGTTGCTAGTTCAGTGCTTAGTCTAGGGGCAAACCTGAGTATGTACAGCCGGCCGCCTCTTGAGGTGCCGAAGTAGATATGATAACATCTTAAACACTGCTCCCTCATTTCAGTGAGGGAGCTGTGCAGGCACTGAGCATCTCTGAAAATCTGATGTTAACTTCCCTAAAGACTAGAAGTGCTTGGCCTGGGCATCTGTCACATTTTCCCCTCCTACTAAAAACCCCTCTTTCCATTGAGGATTGTGTGACCCATTGTTCTATTTTGACATTAAAACAAATTAAATCACTGATTTCCATGCCAAACAAACTAGACACCCCTGTTGCGCCATGATTATGATTGTAGCTTTGGTTTAAAATGCATGTAATTTCTCTTGGGACTCTATGCAGTCCTTGTTTTAGGGGAAACTATCTCGCAGGAGGGAAAACCTGTGTTGTCTTTTTGTTAGAGAAGCTGATTAATATGCAGCATGTTTAGGTTGATTCTAGCTGAGCCACTCACTGGCTACTTTTTCAAAATCAGCAAGCATTGTTCTGGGGCTCAGGGAGAAGCCAGTGAGAGTCTGAAAACGTCTCAGGAATTACAGAGCAGGGAAAAAACAGACAGAAAGGAAAAGAATTGAAATGTAAAAGCCGTAGGGCCAGGGTTCAAAGGCATGGGCAGCTGGTGCCTCCTGAGTGTGGGGGGACACCCGCAGGAGCCGGCGGCGGCAGTGGGGACAGTTCTGGCAAGCACCCATGGACACCACTGGCAGCATTGGCGGCTGGGACAGGACTGGTGAGCACCCACAGATGCCACCAGTAGAATAAGAGGTGGGGACGGGGCTGGTGAGCACCTGCAGACCACGCCAGTGGGGACCGCCCTGTCAGGGGGGGGCCACAGGCCCTCCCTACCAGTTGCCTATGTTCAAAGGGGTTCCTGAAGTGCCACCATGCAAGTGCTGCCATGGCCAAGTAGTAGGTTTCCTGCTTGAGTAGGATTAGACATTTAGGATCTCCGTACAGATAGCAAAGAGATGGTGGAGGTGTCTAAGAGCGATTTGGCAGTTCTGCATAGAGAAGAGGGAGCAGTAGGCACTTCCAAATGGTGATACAGAAAAAAGTAGAAATAGCTAACTAACTCTAGAAAGGCTAAGTACCATTGTACCTGCCCTCCTGCCCCTCTCAAGTGTAGTGGCACTGTATAGATGCTGCCCATTGGACATCTCCATTCACTTGCAATTCACATTGCCTAGTCTCTGAACTGCAGATAACCTCCCTAATGGTGTCCAAAGGTAGACACTAGGTGGTGGTAACCAAACTCCCTCTCCCTTCCAGAAGACTGCCATAACCACTTGGGTGCTCTTCCTTGCCCTCTTTCTGGCCCCAGGGCTCTTGTCTTTTTGGCTTTCCAGTGGCCCAGCTTCCATAGGAAGGGTGGAGAATATGCTCAGCTCACCAATTTTCTAGCCTAGTGGTTATGTCCCTCTCTTACAAAGTGGAAGAAGTGGGTTCAAAGCATCTCAAGGTGAAGAAGGCCTAAACCCCCGGTGTCCCATTTCCTGGGCAAGTCTGTTAACCACTAGGCTATTGGGCACTCCTTCCTTCACTGTCTTTCTGCTGAATTCAGTGCTGTTAATGTGAAGGAAACCTTTTGGGCATCTACCAGTAGAGGCCTCTCCAAGGACCCAGACAAAGCTTCAATGCCTCTCAGCAGCAATTTGAATTCCCAAAGAGTTTAGGCAGGCACAGAAGCCCTGGCACTGATGCCTAGGGAACTTTGCAGGCCAGAATGGATGAATGAATTCAAGGACTAAGGAATTCAGGTACTTAATGAGATTTCTGGCTGCTGGTCCAGAGCCATTTTGAATTGCTGTTTGGGATGTGGGCAGCTGAAATCCACCTCGGTCCCATTTAAGCAGCTAAGGGATCAATTTGAATGGCCTCTCACTTAGCCCCATACAAAACTGGCAAAGCCCCAATGATTTCAACTCCCGATTCACATCCATTTAAGGGGACAAGTGCATTGGCTCTGTGGAAGTAAAATCTGGTGTCTGTTAATACAGTAATACTACTGAAGTCTATGACATGATTCCAGATTTACCCCATGGTAACTGAGGTTAGAAATCACAATGGTAGCAACGCTTCTTCTATTCTGATCAAAGGGAAAGTCAGACTTCCATGGTGGTGTGGCCTTCGAGGTGGTATTTACACTCTTGCTGCTTTTGCATTAATTTTTTAATTCCAGTTTGGTCTATATATACCATTTGCTGCTAAGAGGGAGACCTGTTGATATTTCTTCCATCCCTCCCATTCTGCAGGGATCACCAAAGTTGGACCAAAGTGCTCTTACCTAATATACATTTTGGCACATTATTTTTATATGAATGAACTCAGCCCCAGAATGACACACATGAATACTTCAAATTACCGTTAATCCATGCCTATGTTCTCCTCGCAGGCAGGGCTGCTCCAACCATTACGCAAACTAGGGGGTTGCTTTGGGCGCCAAAATTTGCAGGGGGGGGGGTGCCAAAATTATATGCAAGACAAAACAACAGGAACATCATTCGAAATAACAGAAACTGAAAGCATGAAAAGCAAAGCTCTAATTTTTTTCCATACATCTTCATGAGAATTTTGTTTTAATTGTACATAGTTTCATAGTTTCTAGGGTCGGAAGCGACCTGAGCA